TGTGTGAAATAAATAATACGTAACTTAATATTTGTTTCTTTCTCTCTATCTCTAAATCTCTATCTCTATCTCTATCTCTATCTCTCGTCGCTAGTTTTTTCTAGAATCTAGACGCTACTGGAAGCGATGTTAACAAACCGCTCCGGGAGATTGAAGCTCTGGCGTCGTATTTGACTATTGACTCGTTTGTTCAATTCATACGATTCAACTGATTCTTACGTACATCTGTAACTGAATATAGAAGATATTTTTAGGATTATTGTTATTAGAAGAAGTGTGTAAATATTGAGATTGTAAGATGGGTGATTTTACCGAGTGCTGCTTATCTTTCATTTGTGTATACTGCGATTCGCTACAAGAGGACAATTTGTAACAGTCTGGTTATTCTATACCAGATTAATCAATCTTTAATTTCCTACGTTTCTTTCTCTGTCCCCCTCGTTAGGATCCTCATCTTTAACGCGAATGTCGCTATTGATAGAAAATCATTGTATCGTATTTCGCGAAGGTCATCGTCGTGACGAGGGATTATACAACGTTATTGCTTTCATCATTATACCTGGAATTGTTTAAACAAAACTACGATGCCTTGCACCCGGTGTTTCTAGCAATACGCACGAAAGGTTGTGCCGCTGTACATTATTAGGTCGCTTAGATGATAATGCAATGATCAATTAGTTTTGAGGTACTTGTGAAGATACGTATATATTTATATACGAGTTGCATAATTATATTTGTTATGGACAACAGCATTAATGCGGACGTATACACGTCATTAATTGTACATTGATTTAGATGTATTTTTACTACAACACTGCAGAATGCGGAAATAATAATTTCGAAATGCAGTATAAATTATTTGAATGCTGGATCTTGGAAGATCTTGATAGATAGATTCTATAATAAATATATCTTTTGGAATTTCAAATGCCGCAGGATCATTTGTATTACTTGAAAGTTCTGATATCGCTAAAATAGTCCTTAAGAATTAAGAATTTACCTTGCGGTTTCATTCTGGAAGAATATTAATCGAAATGGCAAGATGCATTGTCGCTGCTTTATATTTACAACATCACACGTTTGTTTTTCCCTCGATTCTTCGAACGTTGCTTGCGAGACGAGAATGTAAGATGCATGGAAAAAGATTGATTTATACAAACTCACGTTATTTATATTCTTTAGAATTCAATAAATTAATCTTGGAGAGAAAAAAAGGAAATTATTTTATTATAGATAAAAAAAATCTCAATTTAATATAATTTATATATAATTAATTTTTTCCTCAAGAAGAAAAAAATCTATTAACAAAATTTAATATTTTTATTTCCCTATGATAACTACGATAAACTTAATTAACGATTAGGCTATCAGTAAGCTCTCTATAGTCTATTTCCTAACATAAATATAATTATCAATATTTTGACTTGTGAAAAAAAATTATATTAGAAATAAGAAATTTATATGATTAAAAATTTTATTGTAAGATACGATTTGCCAATTTTACACGTCCAAAATTTATTCTTTTACGCGACTGAGACCCAAAGCTTTTTTCTTTTTGCTCTATTTTTCACTAATTTTATTAGACTTTAATTAATTTTTTTAAATTTAAATATCGAACTGTACGCAATCCATATCTGTAGAAACTGAAGAAAAGGTTTCGATATCAATGTTAAAAGTTATGAAAAATGTGAAAAAAAACTTTTAGAAAAATGCGTAAAACAGTGTTCTGTTCAAAAAATTATATCTTTTCCAAGAAAAATTAAAAAGTAAAAACAAGTATTGTTTAAGAAAAAGAAAAGCATGAGCTTTAAGAAAAAAATTATTTCATAATCATTGATTGCAAAAAGTATCATTATTTCAATGAATGAAGTTGGAAGTATTATTGCAATAAGAGTAAAACAGTATTTTATTTAAAAAAATCACCTCTATTACAAAAAAAAACCCAAAAAACAAATACCGGTTTAGGAAGATAAAAATATGAATTTAAAAAAAAAGGCATTAATAGTTGGGTTCAAAAAGTATGATTTTAATCGAAATACTTTTTATTATAATATTTAAATATAAGTTAATTTATAAAAACTCCTTACTAATCACAAAGAAAAGAGGCAAAATAGGGCAATAGGAGTGAGGTGCGGTAATTATTACGCACCCAGCAAACGAGAATGGATTGAAATGAATTGAAATGGATTCAGATTTTCAAAAATGTTGATTCACGAATGTTAAAATGAATGCTTTTTAATCCTAAATGCATTTTTATTCATTTATAGGAATTGCATGGAGCATATCTCTATGTCTTTCAATCTAAAAATAATATTAGCTTTTTCTGTGCATTGTGAATACTGTTTAATTCAAAATTTTAAATAGGAAATGCAGTTTTTCATCCAATTGAATCTAGTTGAATCCAATTGAATCCAATTAAATAAAAAAAAGTATTCGCTATTTAAAATATGTGTGTGTGTGTGCATTCGGATAGAAAAAAATTTCAATCCATTTTAATCTATTCTTATTTGCTGGGCAAATCAAACAATATGGATACAACATAAAAGTCTTTATTAAATAACCCACTTACATATTTCGGCTCATTTTTTAGCCATCTTCAGAGACAAATTAATTTTATAATTACAATACCTACAAACTAATTCATTCCAGTGAGCCACCTCCACATACTTACAGAAACTTTAATATTGAAAAATGACTAATGACAATCCAAATTGTGCTTAATTTTTATAGGACAAAATTATTTTAAAAAATTATTTCATTTTTCAATATTAAAGTTTCTGTAAGTATATGGAGGTGGCTCACTGGAATTAAAGTCATTTTTCAATATTGAAGTTTCCGTAAGTATGTGGAGATAGTTCACTGGAATTAGTAGGTATTGTAATTATAAAATTAATTTGTCTCTGAAGATGGTTAACAAATGAGGCCATACAAGAGTGTGTTCCCCGCTTAAAGCGGGAAGCACAAACTCTTGCATACCACATAAGACGTAATACATAAGAAAATATATCAATCAATGTTCTTCGTTTCTTTTTTTTTCCATAAAATAAAGAATTCAGGGGATCGATTGTGTATCTTGAAATAAGATAAAAATTACAAAAGTAAACAAATTCACTAGAA